AGCATGCTCAACGCCCAATTTTTTAATGTTATAAAAACAACAACATTTAAAGTCATTTCCAAAGATACGACATTTAATTTAAAAAGCATGTTTATAATGTTTTAATGTTAAATATTTCATATAATATAAAAATAATTAATTCGCCTAAACCTGTTTTTGCCACCATGAGCGGGCGGGAAGGAATAAAAATCATGCCTCCACCCATAATTCCGAGTAAATATAAATATTTCTACGTTTTCTTAAAAATTAATTATTAAATTTTTTCTAAAAATATATTACATATCGAATATACATCATTAAACTGCAAATTCAATTGTGACTCTGAATATATATAGATATGTAATTATTTATTTTTAATTAAAGATGCTCAATTATGTAACAAGATTTTACCAAATATAATGGGTTTAGAGTCTAATAAAATGAGTATTTCTCCTTATCTAATATAAACACAAAAACCTATTTTTGTTGCATAGCTCCAAGCTAGTCCCTAATATTTTGATATTTACCTGATTTTATTTTAATATTAGTTTTATATTATGTAAGTTAGAATATTTGACGATATAGTAAAAATTATTTGTGACATTTTTAATAACAGTCAGGGGCGGACTGGCCATATGACCCGGTGGGCATTTTGCCCACGAGGCCTCAAGAAAATGTCGATTTTTGAGGCCGATCAGAGGAAAATATCAAAATAGAGGCCGATTACAAAAAAATTATTATAATATCTCTATGATTTGAATATCACATTCCTTGAGAATTGTCATGTCGTTTACTACATTTTAATGCATAATATATCAATAACGTCGCTTGACGCTACACATTATTACCAAGTTCTTTTCTTTGTTTTTTTCAAATGAAGTGAAAATGCTTCCGTTTGCGTAGAGTGAAAGCTAAGTTTTGATTAATTTATTATATTATATTTTTATACATTGATTTATTGTAGAAATAATATAGCCAAACTTGTTCTTAATTAATTGAAATCAAATAAAATCCAGGTAGGGGAATCAGATAAAAAGATGGAGGCTAGGGTAAAATAGAATAATTCATCTGGCCAAAATAAGTTGAGAAGGCTGTAAAAAATAGATGAGATACACGTGAAAAAACCCTTAGATAGATATATGGTAAAGAGAGCTTGCTCCCAATAACGATAAATGCACTTCGATTTATAATAGATAATAAATTATTTGAGACAAAAACTTAATAATTTATGTAAATTTAAGACTCTCAGCTATAATATATTTGGAAATTTTTGAAATATGGGGCTACTTTCATATCTATAAACTAAAAAATTAGGTACTTTGTCAGCATGGTAAATGATAGAAGATGCTAAATCTTCTGTATCATCGATTCAAAATAGAGCAAAGAAATGGCTTCTAATTTAAATGAAACACTTTCATATTTAAAGCTCCCGGAGAGTATCAGGGTACAGAAAGCTCTGCCAAAAATTGAATAGGACGAGCGAAGAGAATATATAGGATAAATGGCAAGATGAACATCCCCAAGAATCGATTGACCTTTATAAGTTCGAAGTATTTCGTCCTATAATTGATCAAATTATAAACAGCTTTTCGGAACGGCTTTCTGCGAATTGAGAGCTTATTTTGAATGTGCAATAGCATCCAAGACATTTTGATGAAATAAATAGTAAAGGTATTTCTGAAAAGGTCTTGGAAAAACTGACACAATTGGCTTATATATATTGAATGTTTAATTACGTAACGAATTATGTTCATTTGCCAGTGTATTCAAAGATTTGGTAACAGAATTAAATGAAACGGACGATGATAACGTATGTACAAGTGAGGAGTCAAATGAAGAAGATGGAATATTAGAATATGATAATAACTCAGTGTGATAATAAATGTAACAATTGTTTAATATGCGTGTATGAAATTCTTAGATACAATATGCACACGAGTGCATTCACTAATTTTTAGCATATAAATGCATTTTAACTTTATCGTTTACGCAGGTTAATTGCGAGAAATCATTTAGTAAATTAAAAATTATAAAAATAAGCTGAGAGCTAATATTGACCAAGAAAATTTAGAAGCGTTTTTAATGATATCAGTTGAACGAGAACTATTAGCGTAGATTGAACTAGAAGATATTTCTGTATATTTGCGCAAAGGTTCAAAGTTAATGAGAGATTTATTAACGTAAAAATTATAAATTTTCTTAATTCTTTTATTAGAATCTTATTAATATTATCTACAATATGATCGGTGTAGGATTTTATAAGTGCAGAAATTTTATTCTCTGTAATATTGTATAACTGCAATAATTTTATATTTATAATTAATTGATTTAATATATTGAGTATACATTTTTTTAATATTTAACTTGTGATGTATGTTTTGATTTTAATGTGCAATATCGTTGTAAATCTAATATAAAATATATATTCAGTGAATATTATTTTATATAGGTAATGAATATGATTTTAGTGCATTTTTTAAAAATAAAATATATGATTATCGTATAATACTTTTATTTTACTAAGAATGTAAAACGTTTGTTATTTTCAAAAAATAAGAAGTAATAATCATTTAAATCAAAGAAGCCATTTAAGGGAAACCGGTCGAAGACCGGGCAAAAGCGGGCCGAAGGCCCGCAAAATGGGGGTATGGGGGCTTCGCCTCCATATAAATGAAACTGCTATAAAAAATGCCCACGAGGCCGTAGTGTCGCCAGTCCGCTAACAGTTGATAGATGATTTTGCAAAAACTCCAGTATCACCTATTGATCTAATAAAAATAGCACTCATTTAATAAAAATATATACACTCATAAATTTAAAAAAAAAAATTATCTATATTATAATTTTCCGATGTCCTCACTACGTCATCGTGACGTCATGTCATCGTGACGTCATGTCATCGTGACGTCATGTCATCGTGACGTCATGTCATCGTTACGTCATGTCATCGTTACGTCATGTCATCGTTACGTCATGTCATCGTTACGTCATGTCATCGTTACGTCATGTCATCGTTACGTCATGTCATCGTTACGTCATGTCATCGTTACGTCATGTCATCAGTACGTATTTATTTATTTATTTTTTATTTGTTTTTTTATAAACAGATGTTCATACCAAATTTGAATTCCTGAAATCAGAAGAAGTAATTTATTTGTTGATTTTTTATGATCATATCTATTTTTACAGACTATCATTTTCCTTGACTGAAATCGGAGTGCCAGATACCAATTTTTAGAGATTATCATTTTATTTGAATTCCTGAAATCAGAAGAAGTAATTTATTTGTTCATTTTTTATGATCATATCTATTTTTAGAGACTATCATTTTCCTTGAATTCAATCGGAGTGCCAATTATTTAAAAAAATTCTCTAAATAAGGGCACTCTTAAACAGACTTAATCAAAGTTTTCTTTTGAAGAAGTAAGATTATTAAATTAAGCTAAATTCTTTTTTAAAAAAAGAAAAGATATATACTCAAATAAGAATATTAAATTAAGTTAATTATACTAATTATTTTATCTACTAGTTGAGAAATTTTTTTATAAATTATAAGGTCTTGAACGCGTGGAAATTTTTTCCAAATATTATGAGCTTGGACCTGGCTTGAAATTTTTTAATGTTAAATGTTAGTCTTATGTAACCAGTAATATATTTACAAAGAATTTTGGTATTGGGTTCAAGCTCATTTAAATATATTTTGACTCAAATAATAGTTTCCACTCTTAGTCCTAATGGGTTGGACTCAATGACATTGCTTGGACTTGACCTAAATGGGGAGGGGGAGGGGTTTTAAAAATTATATAAATTGGATATGATTTTTATATAAAAGGTAACATCTTTTTTAAAAAACGAATAAAATTCTCATTCTCCGTCATTTTTGACGGGCTATCTACTAGTATCTTTATAATATATAATAGAATTCTAAAAAAAATTGTTCAGAGGAGCTATCAAAAAATATTTTTTGTCTCAGTTGGGTTATCAAAAAATTTTTTCGTTTAGGAAGCTATCAGGGACCATTAAAAAAATTTCATTGAGAGAGCTATTCATAATTTCCAGGGAACTCTACCCTGTATCTGTCAATTTGTAATTGATATTTATGAAGGTTTGCCAATAAGCCACTATAGAAAAAAGTTAATGATATTTTTTTACATATTTGATAAAATGTTTTTGTCTGTTGTAAGAATCAGATGTTTGAATTCATTCATTATATTATAAGCGATCGTGACCAAGAAATTATCTAGATATTGTTATAAAAAAATATTGCTAAAATTATATACTACGTTTTAATTCTGAGTATAAATAAATGTTAATTTAGTCTCATTAAATTAAACCAACTTGTAATTATAATAAAGGAATCGTCTAACTGATGTAACTGTTGTAAGTTGATAAAGCTATCATGCAAATTTTTTCAATAAATTTATCAGCTCATAGATTTTAACAGCTATGTTTACTTATGTAGGATGTTAAAACTATAAATAGAGGTAATAACTATTTTTAGCAAAGGGCAACTAAAACGAAGCTGAGTATTATTTATTTAAAAAATAAGTATAAGTAAGAGAGTATAGTCATTGTAAAAAATGTTTTAAACATAGTTTAAAAAGAATTTATTTATTATAGCTTTAAAATAAATTAAACGCACAATAAGAATTCCACTTCTGAATTAATGATAGAAAATATTACAACTCATATTATAACCATTGATTATAACTATTAAACGTGTCATATGATAGTTGCTAAATAAATTAGCGTTCTTAACTGGGTCAATTTGAGCTGATTTTTAAAACGACTAACTCAATTCAATATTTTATCCAGAAAATATTATGCAAGCCTATAGATTTCGCTCATATATGGCACATAGGATTGAACATCTATTGGAAAAATCTAGCCACTTAGGCACTATTTTCCTGGCTATAATGTTGAGTTAGCCGTTTTTAAAAATCGGCTCAAATCGAGCCCTTTGTCAACACTATACCGTTGATTTTGATTAGCTGTCACTCAAGTCAGTTTTTAGCCTAATTTTATACATATTTTTATAATAAGATAACATGGCTTTTATCAAAAAATTATTTAATATTACCAATTTTGAGAATAAAAAGAAAAAACTCGATATTCACCAGTATTTAAATCTCAATGAGGACCCAGAACAGATTTGGGATCTTATAAAAGAATTAGGTGATGGTGCATATGGTAAAGTCTATAAAGTAATTAAATATCGATCAATTTATATTTAAAGCTATTTCGCCCAACATAAGAAATATTTAAATTTATTATATATTGGTTTAGTTTAATTTTTGATATATAATTAAAGTAGACGGCTGTATTTAAAAAAATTATAAAGTGAAAAATAATGTTTAAATTTGTTGTTATTGATTTATTATTAGGATTACCTTATTTATCAGTAATTACAAATTAGCATTGATCATTACCTTGTATGTGTTATTCAATTATCAAATTTTGAACAAAATCTTTTAAAAATAAATATATTACTATTTATTACAAAATTCTACATAACTACAGCAATAATATATTGTTATATTTATTATTAGAAAATGTTTATTACACTGATTATCATTTAAAACTAAAAATATTCAATTCTTTAACCCTTTTTTAAATAGTTTTTTTGCACAATACCTCTAAGTAACAGATAAAATATTTATATTCTTTCAAAAAACATGACTTGACACATGCATATCCAGGTTTCTACTATAGGTAGGGCCAATATTTACACCATAAATTTATTTGAAGATCTTTTCTTATCATAGAAATTTGGCTATATAATATTTTTATAAAAATAATTTTGGGTTTTCACTTATATTTTTTATATAAAAATCAGAGTTGTTAAAGTTCTACTGTAGCACACTATCTTGGTAGCTATAGCTAATAGCATGCTACTTTTTTTTCCAATGATTTTTTTAATGTGCTCCTTTAAAAATATAATGAATGTAACTATAAATGGAAATTTATAATATCATAATTTATATTTTCAATTTGAATTATAAACCTAAATCATCTGGTGTAAATTATTTAAAATATCATCTCAAATGGATATCTAAATTGATGTAAGTGAGTCAGACAATTATGATATTAATGAAATGGAAGGTTCCCTGGAAGAAAATGTCCTTGATAACAATAATACAAATTCTCCATTTCAAAATGAGGAAATATTTTCAAATTAATCTAAAAACAAAAAATGGCTACAAATTTATATGTTCACACTATAAAAAAAATATATCCTCAAATAAATCTAGTAGCTATAAATCAGAAACACCTAAAGGTAATTGTTATATTTAAATTCTAATAGTATTTTTATTTTGTAAGAATGCTCACAACAATTTTAAAGGGATACAAAAACATCTTAATAATTTTGGTATAGGGGACATTCAAAAAGACCAATTCAATTCAAGCTAAATTTTAAAAATATTGCACATACCAATATTTCTCAGAAATTGGCTGATAAAGTTATTGTCTATTTTATATTTGGCACAGTTCAGCCAATTTCATTGGTACTATTATGATTAAAACTTTTTCCCCTGGTACAACAATTTTTGTTGCCAGGCATTAATGATTGAGATAGCAACAAAGATGCTCTAGTTAGAACCATTAAAACTTCCACTGATATTTTTTTGAAATTAAAGATTCTAATATAATAGAAAATCCCCTAGATACGTTTTTTTAAATCTAAAAATACAAATGAATATTTTTTATAATTTTTCTTATATTATAAATATGTATATAAAATTAAATACTGCCTGCGCTCAAGTGTTAGTATTGAGAGATTATTTAGTAAGGCGGAACTTATACTTTCTGTTCGTCGCTCTAGACTTGGGCATGATAGAAATAATTTTATTATTAAAATGCAAAATATAAATAAATTTTTTTTTTTAAAATGACTTCAATTTATTAAAAATATATAGTTTTCTCACATCAAATATAAAATAAATTAAATCAATATTATATAAAAACCGAGGTGGGACTACAAGTACCCAAAAAACATGCGTAATTATATTTTAAAATTGTGATTTGAAGGTTTTGTTTTAAAAAATAAAATTCTTTAGGTTCTGATGTAAGGGCTCTTATCTTAACCCCTATATTTTTTAAAAACTTTAAAGTTCCACTTGGCATATGTCCAAGGGAAGAGATAACAATTGGTGTAAAAATATAATTTGTGAATTTGGAATATTTCATTGTTTTTTTTTCTCGGCTATATCAACCGGATTAGAATTTAAATTTTTTGGGAAGAAGATACACATGTGAAGTCCCAAATTAAGGATTTCCCTAAAGACCAGATGGCTTAACCGGAAGTTAAGCCATCTGGTCTTAAGCCATCATCTAACGATAAATTTGTAGGCTCCAGGATGTTTGGTATTCGGGCCCTGGTAATATTACCATATAGTTATTTTTATTACATAAATTATAGTCTTTTTAAATAAATTTTTATAAATGTTGATTTTTATGTATTATATACTAGGCAATTACATTATAAACAATAAATATAACAAAAATATTTCTAATTTTTTAAATAAAAAGTAGCCTATAAGGTAGCCATAGCTACATTTAAAAAATAGTAGCTAATAGTGTTCTACTTTTTTTTGATGAGTAGCAATTACAGTAATGCGCTACTTTTAAAAGTAGGGTTTAACAACTCTGATAAAATGCTTTTTTCTAAAAATTTTGAATTATAGTTGTTATTAAAAGATCTTAATTTTTAAAAAAATTTATTTCAAATTTCATAATATATTTATTACATATTATGTTACATTGATGTTATTATATAAATAGGTGATTTATCAATAAAAATATTTTATATACTTTTAAATTTATGTTTAAAAAAAGTATATGCAAGGAGTAGAGTAATAAGTGCAAAATTGTTTCATTTGAGTCAATTTTTAAAAATGGCTAACTCAGTATTTTATCTAGAAAAATATTTGAAGCTCGAGTTTTGCAAATAGATATCCAAAACTTTGTGCCATCTATGAGCAAAATCTTCAGGCTTGTTTAAAATTTTTCTGGAAAGTACTGAGTTGGCCCTTTATAATCAAAAGAAGCGATTTTGCAACACTAGATAGGGATTAAAAATTAATGAATGTTTACAGAATACAAAATCAAATATGATATTGGATAGGTAATCGGTCGATATAAATAATATATCATATTAGGTCTGATCGGCATCCAAAAAGTAGTATCGGTACACTCCTAGCTTATGATATTTACGAAAACAGGAAAATTTGCGATGTGGATCGATTAACACCTGCTTTGACATCAAATTACAGAAATGATAGAAAATAAATATGCACAAATTTTATATCCATTTATCCTATATATGTTTTGAAATTTAATTTTATCTTGTTTTTGGATTTTTGGCAAAGAACAAAAAGAAAAAATTTTAATGGGTTACCTTTAAGAAAACTGAATAATGGATGAATTATGGATAATATCAAAAATAACGATAAGATATTCACCTAAGATGATATTATATAGCCTTTACTAAAGTCTGGTTTTTTTAAAATTTTCTATAACCTTGCCTTGATAACAAGCTATTTGCAATTTTATAGTCAAATTTGCTTGTATTTACCAACACTTTCAGTTTTAAGTATAATTAACCCTCAAAAATTAAAAAAAAAATTAGCTGACAAATCTATAAAAAATATCATCGACAAATTTCTTAACTAATAGAAAAGAAGTATTTCTTATTAATTTTTTTTATAAATTGCATGGATTAATTTTTAATAAATCATAATATATTGCTAGACTGTTTTTTTTCCTATGAATACTGCATATGATTTAGGGATGTACCTATATTTTTTATCGGATCGGGCCGATATTTCACCCATATTGAAATATTGGTTATCGGCCAATATTATAAAATTTCCGATCCTATATAAATGGCGTCTTTAACAAAAATAAAATGTTATAAATTTTTTAAAAAAGTTATATCTAAAATCATTTATTCTTATAAATAAAATCAAAATCCATTTTTATATATATTTTTTTAATAATAATAATTTATTAATAAACATTCTGCCATATTGTTATTTTTTTTGCGCATTCAGTTTATAAAAGTGTTGGATAATCTCTTCAGAATCTGTTTTTAGTGAAGCAGGTGATATTGGCAGTTACCATCGCCACAGGCTGACTTCTGATAATTGGAAATTTTGATATATATCTAAAAAGAAATCTTCGATATATTAATGTTAAATATTATTTTAAATATTTTTTCAAATTTCATAATAAATTTGTTATTATGTATATAGATTAATGTTATTACTTATTATATAAAAGTGATTTAACAATAAAAATATTTTATATACTTTTAGAATTGCAATTGAATTGAATATAAACTATACTGATCATTATAATATATTTAATGACATAAGTTATGGTATAGTTAAATTATTGATGCTATACTAATTAAAGTATATTAAAAATTAAAACCGTTGGTATCTTTACAGAATACAAAATTAGATATAATATTGGATCGGTAATCGGCCGATACCAATTTAATATCGGGAATATCGGATCAGCCTCCAAAAAATGATATCGGTACACCCCCAATGATGATGATATAATTTTTTTGGAATTGATGGCAAGAATTGAAATGTGGGGGGGGGGCTAGTTATTATGTAGACTCTATTGTCAAAAAGTAAAACCATAGTTTAGATCATTTCATAAATCAACCACGATTTGGCTGACCACCTTTGATTTTTTAATTGGTAAACAATTAAAGGTTAATGTAACTAAGATATGGCCAAAAGTTTAGTATCCTGTCTTTTATATTTTTTAAAATATTAGGGTTCAAAGTGGCTATAATGCCGTATTTTTACCATTATTTGCTTCCAATCAATTAAGCATATCATAAAAACTACACAAGTATAAATAAAAAATTTAATATCAAAATTAGTGATCTGCATCGGGCCTAATTTTTTAAACTTGGCTGGGCCTGAAATTTAAAAAAAATGCCCTGTCCATCCCGATCCCCAAATTTTTTTTTTTATTTGTTCTAAAAAGCCCGAACCGAAATAAAAAATAATATTTGCCTCCTGGCCCTTCCTGAATTTATTTAAATATAGAAAAATTTAATTTTTTTTTATTTTTAATAAAATAAATAGAAAATATTAACGCTTTGTTTCTTGCAAGAATTTTGAAATATATTAATTTATTTGACAAATATATGATATCATATTTAAAATTTAAGCCCGACCTG